ATACTTATTCAATATGCATAGTGAGCAAATAATTTGAGAAGCTGGACTCTATGAAGAAGAACATGCCATCAAAATTGAAGACATCAATAACATCATTATGTGGATGGTATAACTGTGCTTCTGGAAAGGGAAGAAGATTTGAAACACTTTTTAAAAGATAAAAATCTACAGTTTTCAGTGTAGATTAAACCTCAATATAAAGGAAACAAAAATCCGCACAATTGGATCAAAAAGGAAAAAAGATGTTTATCGGTATTTTATCTTCTTGGCTTCACAATCAACACCTATGGCAGCAGTCAATAAATCAAAAGATGGGTTGCTTTGGGCGTTCAAGGATCTCTTTAAAGTGCTAAAGAATGGGGGTTTCCACTTAAAAACAAATGTGTCTTGCTGAGGCTCTGGAATTTTAAATTCATTGATTGAATGTGAGTGTTGGACAATGAATAAGGAAGTCTGAAGAAGAATTATTGTTTTCAAATTTTGAGGAAGTATTGCATATCCTATGGATGGTAAAAAAAAAGGCAGCAAATCTGTCTGAAAGGAAGCACCAGGGTGCTCCTTACAGGTGGTAAGACTAGTGAAACTTTGTCTCATATACTTCGGGCATGTTATCAATAGGGTTCAGTCCTTGGAAAAACACAATGTTGTTGTTGTTGTTAAGTGCTGTTGAGTTGTAGATGACTCATATCAACCCTATGAACGAAATACTTGAGCACTGTTCATAGAGTCTCCAGAGGCAAGCCATTTCAGAAGTGGGTGCCACTCCTGCTTCCAAGCTTGTTTTAATTGGGAAGTTCCACCAAACACTGTCCACCATGCGTAACCATTATAGTTTTTGGCACATGAGTGTCACAGTGTTCAGCATGACAGCAAACATGAGTTATATCTGTACAGCGATGCACAAACCAGTGCTATACCACCTAGAAGAATATTTGACAAAGACAATTTAAACCAGTCAATAAAAGAGAGGATGACCCTCAGTGAGATGGATTGACATAATAACTGTAAAAATGGGCATGAGGATAGCAGAAATTGTGAACAGGATAAGGCAAGATTTTGATTTGTTTATCACAAGATTACTTCCAGTCATAGTAAACTTATGGGCATATGACCATAACAATATAACATTATTTGATACAAGACCATATTGAATTCATATACATATAGGTGGAACACATAACTTTTTAAAAATTATTTTGTCTTTAAGACAACTAATTTACTATAAATCTCTTCCTTAAAATGTGTTTTGAAAGCTAATTTTTATTGTATTATTTTCATTTCTGATTCATATAACTTTGTTTTTCAGATATATATCAAAAAGAATATGGTAAGTTTTCTTGAAGAATCTGTCCTCCACTTTAACAACCAAATTTTTGTTTGATTTTTTCTCTTGTGCTTTGTAATCATTATTACATTTTAACTTC